AATAACAAATGTTAAAGAAAAGAAAAGGCTCTGAAGGTCCCATAGCGAAAAAGAGAAAATGGTTATTAACTCAATGGACCACCTGACGAGCTCCAGAGTTTTTTTTATTCCCTTTCTTCTGGGAAACAAGTAAAATAAGAATTTATTTAATATGGGTTTATTTTAGAATCAAAGACAATTTACTTATGTTCCTCAAATTTATTTTATAAAAAAAAAAAACCAGGGCTTGAGGACAAAGTAAAATACACTGACCATGTTTCTTGGACCTATCAGTGTTAAGCAGATATTCGCTGGTATGCCAAGTCAAGAGATCAGAACCATTTTCAGGATAATGTGTAGGCTATTTTAAAAAAAGGTTTTTAATATTTATTTTTTTGAGAGAGAGAGATAGAGAGACAGAGAGAGACAGAAAGTTAACAGTTATGGGTATAGGTAAGCAGAGAGAGAGGCAGACACAGGAAGCAGGCTCCCAGGTTCCGAGCTGTCGAGCCCAATGCGGGGCCTTCGAAACTCACAAGCCGTAAGATCGCACTGGACCAAGTCAGATTAACCACCCAACAGCACCACCAAGGTGCCCCCCTGAGACTGTTGTAAAGAAAACATTAATAAGTCTTCCTTGCAAGTATTTTAAGAGTCATGAATACAGATAAAAACTGTTAACACCTACATGGTATTTGGTACAAATCCTTCTGTAAGCCAATTAGCTGACAAAAGCACGCCCTTCGGGTCTCCAACGATTTAACACATCATGTCTCATACATTATGGCTGCAGGCCATCTTCTGCCTTGACTTGGCTAATTTTGTTCACTGAAATAGAAAAAAGAATGAAGTATTATATACCAGATTTCTATGGTGAGAGCATTTAAGAGGGTCTGGGTTTTAGCGAGAAAATATAGAGTGCCAGGCTGACTCAGTTGCAGAGTGTGAGACTCTTTAACTTTCCTTTAGCCATCAACTTTTTTTTTTAATTTGTTTATTCTGAGAGACAGAGAGAATGCAAGCAGAGGAGGGGCAGAGAGTAGAGATCGAGAGAGAGAATCCTGCGCCGATCGTACCTGCCTATTGCACGGAGCCCAACACAGTGCTCCTGACTTGACTGGGATCATAGGACGTAGCCAAAAATCAGAGTTAGACTCCTAACTGACTGAGCCTCCCAGGTGCCTCAAGCAT